GATTACACGTCCGCAGTAGGTGTTCGATTGGCGCAGACCCAAACAGGTGAGAGTGTGCAAGTGAATGGGAAATACTTTCCTTTGCGAGGGGGAGCCTATCGATACGAATAATACCTGAACTGATTTTTCCTTTATTCCTTACCTTTTTTCTCTTCCGGACCCGAATTTGTTCTCAGTACCCCCACAATAATCGCTTTTAGGTCTTAACACAACATAGTGTGATTACAGCTTATCAATTTATAGGCCTTACACTTCTGTTGTAGAGAGTAACGGTTTTTCTCAAGATTTGTACAGCTTCTCAAAATTCCTCAATTTACCCGGGTAGAGTCGCGGGGTGAGTTCCAAATGGCTGCTCTTTGCCCAAACTTGTTAGCATTTTTTCGTTGCCCTAACCGGACAGTATGTAATACCATACTGTGCTGTACTGTACCCATATCTACTCATACAGTGCCGGTAGTAGGCTATCATTCTTATTCACCATCGTCCAATTCTAGACACCAGCTGTCGCGTACCCAATACGTTAGCTTATCCTATCAGTTCCCCTACCCCCTCCTTCCTCGCGTACCGTAAAATCTCTTAAAATTCGGTATCGCTCAACGTGGCCGGATCTCGGGAAATAGTTAAGTGAGGTATGACTAACTCAGTGAGTGACTGTCTGTGATCTGGAAATTAAGTTCTGAATTGTTGCAATGTCAAACCATGATCTGTGCCTCAACTAAATCACAGTGCAGGCTCATCATATTCCAGAAATTGTGACTTCTGAACACACTTCTGAGTCCACTGTAAAGATATTATGACTCTTATATAGAGAGAGTGGATGGAAAAGGAGTTTAGGTCTGGATACGAGAATATTCAGGTGAGTGCACTGATATAGAAGGAGTCATAATAGAAGAAGACAGGAGTCAGAGGAAGTATCATGAGAGATACTAGGAGACAAACTGATGTTCCGATTAGTATAAAATATTATCTAATGTAATTAATTTGTAAAAGTTCAAGTTAGCGAAGCAATTCAAGCTTCTAGAAATTCATATCTTTCTCAACCGATTTATACCTTTCTATAAGTTGGATAAAGTACTTGAAAACATTTCCTTCTCCAGTATAAGATTCTAATAGTCCATAATAGAGATATTCAACAAAATAGAAGCAATTCAAGCAGCCAGAAAGCAAAGAAGACCTAAAGTGAAACCTATCAGTGAGCATATACTGAGCACCATACAAACTCAATAATCCACCCAGAGAGAACTTACAGCTAAAAGCAGAAGATCCGCATACTAGTATTTCTCGAACACCACTGAACTACTAAGAAGCAGGCAGGCTACTTCCAGAAGCCAACATGAAAGGAAGCTGCAGAGATCTACAAGATACCACAGCAGACAATTAGTAAATGGGCCTAAAAAAAAGTCTTCTATTGAGAAAATTGGAACCAACTCACATGCTGGCACCTAAGAGGGCAGTACAGAATCTCGCTGTTGGTGGCCCGTACCAGAGTAAAGGCTATATGATGACTTCTTAGAGTCAAGACAGCAAGGAAGAATAGTGAGACGGGAGTGGTTTTTCTGGTACAAGCTGGATTTAGATTTCGAGAGCTTTATCCAGCTCTCAATTCTGAGATCTTCCAATTCAGTTACTGATGGCTTCAAGGATTCCTAGGATAACACAAAATTAGATTACGGTTTATAATGAAAGAAACCCAGAAAGTACTTACCGAATACCAGTCTCTTGTAGTCAATTGGCTCTGGTTTAAAAGCCAGAATTCACTACTCCATCCTGGGATATTTTTCGATATCATTTTTCAGCATCCGGTTAGCCAATTTGAGGAGTCTAACATTTGTAACATCGATGAAACTCCAATTCCATTTGAGTATCCAGAGGAAAAGACCTATGATACTATTAGTCAGAAAACAATTTGGGCCAAGGCAGGACAAAATGGGTAGAATAAGAGGCAGGCCTCATTGGTACTTTGTATCTTTGCAGATGGAGTATCAAGGGTGCCACCAATGGTGATTTTTCATAGAAAGGGAGAGCTGTTGAGTAGAGAGCAGGACAGCTATTATCCTGTAATTGAAGTAGAATTCAACAAAAAAGCTTTTATGAATGATAGCTTGTTTTTACGCTATATCAAAGAGTAGTTAGTTCCAGTGTTAGGAGGACGACCAGCCCTATTTGCGATTGATCTCATGGGGTCTCACAAAACTCCAGCTATTCTTGAAAAGCTACACACATACAATATCATGCCTTCTCTTATCCCCGACAGGTACATTAGTTTAGTTCAGCCACTTGACATCTCGGTCAATAAGCCTCTAAAAGAAATAATGCGAGAGCTTACCGACAACACAATTTTCAAAGCTGAGAGCATAGACACCTTTCAGAAGTGGAGCATTGGCCACCAGTGTATTGTAACAATCCCTTTTTGGATAGTTAGTTCTTGGCGATGGAGAATAATACTTCTCTTCTTCTTCTTCTTCTTTCTTCATCTTACGATAGTACTAGGCCTCTGCCTACATTACTGATAGTACAAGACCTTTGTCTTCTATCGGAAATGCCTATCATAAGTTTTCTCTAACTCTTCTGCATGAAGAGCTCTCCTTGGCATAACGATATCGTTGCAATAAAGATAAAAATCGTATAAGTGTTTTATATTTGTTAAAGTAATAAGTAGGAAAAGTACTTAGAACAAAGTATGAAGAACCTATTCTCCTCAGCCGCATCGACCTCCTTATATAGTGTTCTTCCTGCCCATAGTCATGTGACCCAAAATGGTCACATGTGCAAAACCAAATCATAACATCCTAGTCATGTGACCAAAGTGGTCACATGCTCAAAACCCATGACCTCATAGCGAGATCATGTGCAAAAACTCATAAACCAATTATAACACAATAAACAAGTCATATGACTCAACTGAGTCATATGCGTGAAACCCATAACCTCATAACGAGGTCATGTGTGAAACATAAATCATATGCACAAGGCATACCCGCAAGGCACACTCGCAAGGAATACTCGTCAGGCGTACGTCCCATGACTCATATTTGAGCCATGTGTGAAAGCATTACAAATCCCACACATAACAAATCATATGACTCGAATCAGTCATATGTGTGAAACAATAACATACCTGTGACCCATAACTATGTGTCACATGAAAACCTTTTCCTCGCCAAGCCACATTCGTGACATGTATTCTAACAACCTCCTGTGTTGGTAATGCTTTCTATCGATTTCATATCAAAAAAGCCAATATTATTCAATGAGTTTTCCAAATGGTTGGATTGTCGCTTCCTATTGAAGGAAGTTGCGATTCGGAACTAGATATTAAGGGATTTTCAGGTATACAGATCAGGAATTGGCAGGTAGAGCCTGAGATTACTAATGAGATTGGCTCTATTTCAGAGATTCATGATAACAACCAGAGTATCGAATATGCAGATAGTACAGAACTCTTATAACCTAATGTATATTTTAATTTACTATTCTATCTTATCTATTCTAGTACTACAAGCAATTGGAAATATCAAATGAGAGTCCTGTTCAGAGGTTGGTGTTGTTTCTGTCTTCTGTGCAGCTTGTTGTTGAAAATTTAAGACATGCTATTTTCATCATCGCAGATCACTAACTCCAATTAGTTAGGCCTGATCCAGACTAACTGCTTTCAGCTTCCACTGCAGATGACAGCGATACCGAATCGAAAGGGATTTTACGGTATTCCATATGTCGATCTCACAATACGGTACCGTCAGTTCTCCACATCACAATACAGTGCTCCTCTGCACTCATGAGTCCGTACCCCACCATCCCAAAGAGTGCGCTCAAACCCGGCCAGAAATGACGGGGGAGCGGAAACGGTCAAATGCAACCGACAGACAGACCAGCTTGGCAGTCACAACCCATGACTCAACCCCAGTACCGTATTCGCGGGATACGAACCACCACCGATTCTCCAGGGTAGATATCCCACGGACGGATCCAAATACCGGTACCCCACTCGAGCAGGCTCTTCTAACTCGGTAGGGCACCCAGCATTAACATCTCTGGTCGTATTAATTTGTGCCCTCCTGCAGGTTGGGAGGTATTGCGCCGTGGCGGTTAGTATCGTACAGTAGTGCTCTCGTGTTCCGAATGTTGATCGATCAGAAGAGGAAGGATACCGGTAGCTCATCCGGTCGACTGCTGATTGATCAGTTGTGTTGGTTAGTGGATATGTGCATGTCGCAGGTGCTACAGGTTTGCATTCCCTCCGTGGCACGGCGGTCATACAGAGCTAGCGAGAGGTGGCGGGAGGTACGGATTGGGATATAATATCGTAGCTTCATCGTATCGGATCGTATCGTGCAAAGATTATGAGTCGAAGATTAGAACCGAACGCCAATCTCAAAAACCATGTGCTACAGTACTTACCCCACCACCACCGCCCCCATCCATGGTCTCGTAGAGTAACTTAGTTGGAACATGATATATAATCTCCCCCTCCATCTACCTCCTCGCTATCAAAGCAATCAATCCAAATATAAAGACATTGCGGAAGTTGCCAGTGCCCACCTCTACTCCTAGGCACTCCCTCCTCCCTTTTTTTTCCCTCTTTAAGAACAAGCTCCCACAGCACAAAACATAATGTCGGAAAAACATACCTCCGGCGCCGCCTCCACCACCTCCACCTCCACAACCTCCACTATAAAATCCGCTTTTCAAAAACTTCTAGCGAAGGCGCCCTCCTCCTCGCCTGTGCGGGATCCGGGTACTGACATGGCGGGGCCGGGTCCGGCGGAAGAGAAGACAAGAGCGCTGGAGGCGAGGGTTGCGTATTTGGCGCATAGGTCTTAGAGAGACTAGGGGAGCAGGTGGTGGTGGGTGGGAGGACGGGGTAAAGTCGGTTGGCGTTTATGTTGTGGTGGGGTTTTTTTCTCTGTAGTTGGTTGGTTGGGAGGTCTTGCTTTCTTGGTTACTGGAGGGGGTGCATGAATAGGCGGTGGGTGGGTATGAATGTGCGGATGGAAAGACGAATGTACTGTATTGCTTGTGTGTTGTGCATGTAAGGAGATTCCTCCGCTAGTGATTGACGATGTTGTTATTCCAAGGAGTCCAGTTATATAGCACTGAGCCATTCGTGAAAGGAATGTTCAAAAAGAAACTATTCGGAAGGTCTTTCTTTTTCCGCACCAAAATTGTTCCCAAAACTATCCTGAGGGCTTCAGTACACATTACCCACCTACCGACCAATATCCAAGAATCCCAGTACCGATTGTTGGAAGTTCTAGATGGGCGTTGGATAACTGC